AGGAGGAGGAGGAGGAGGAGGAGGAGGAGGAGGAGGAGGAGGAGGAGAGGAGGAGGGGGAGGAGGAGGAGGAGGAGGAGGAGGAGGAGGAGGAGGAGGAGGAGGAGGAGGAGGAGGAGGAGTAGGAGGTGGAGGAGGAGGAGGAGGCGGAGGCGGAGGCGGAGGAGGAGGGGGAGGAGGAGGAGCGGGGGCGCCTGCCGAAGGAGACTGCAGAACTTGGCCGCCCCGATACGCAACCCGCAGCCCGCAGCGTGCTGACGCGGAGCTCCACACGCAGACCGAAAGCGCAGGTCTGGCGCGATGCGTTCGCCGAAACGCGGGGCCAGCACGCTGAGCCAACACGCAGCGTGCTAACACGGACGTCTTGAACACGGCACGTGTTGCGTTTCAAAACGGGCGTATCAGGGCAGCTCGGCAACAGTACGGTGGGGGCACTGGATAAGGAAGCATTGGGTAAGGAATCCAGGGTCTGGAAGCCAGTGGAACTCCAATCGCGGATCGGCAGTGGATATTACCGCCGCCATCATCAGATAAGGAACCCTCCAAGGTCTGAAGCCTCCCGTGCACGTTCCTTACCAACGCCCCCACCGTATGTAGGAGCTCGACCACAAGAAGAACCTTCCACAATCCGCCGTCCCCCGTGTGGGGCCACCAGGCTGTAGGGCAAAGGTTTGCTGCTCCCTGCGCCAGTTGCAGGTTCCAGTTTCCAATGTGATAGTTCTGCTTGGTGTTGTATCACTGTTCCTTGTTCTAGACCGCGCGAGGGGGGGAGCCGAAAAGCGTCCGGATTACCACGCCCGAATCGCGTGCTATGGGACACATAAAAACAAATGAAATTCGCGCCCCCGAGGCCATAACCCTCGTAAGTAAGTTACACAATAGTCGCGTCCCCAAGGCCATAAACCCTATATTCGCGTCCCCGAAGCCATACACCCTCGCAAAATACGTTGTATTCGTATCCACGAAGCCATAAGCCCTAGTAAGTTATACAATGCTCGAGTCCCCGAGGCACCAAACGCTCGTAAATCACGAAATTCACGTCCCCGAAGCCAGAAACCCTTGTAAATTACCAAATATTCGCGTCTCCGAAACCATAAACCTGTGTAAATGACGCTATGGTTGCAACCCCGAAGTCATACACCCTCGAAAATTATGCAATATTCGCGTGTCCGAAGCCATCAACCTTCGTAAATTACGCAAGCTCCAAAGCCATACATCTGCGTAAATTACGCTATATTTGCGACTCTAAAGCCATACACCCTTGTAAAGTACTCGCTATTCGCGTATCCGAAGCCATAAACCATCGACATGCAACACCGAATTTAACAATATCATCAGAATCTCAATGTGTCTTCCCAGTTACTCATCGTCTTCGCGTGAAGTCCCGACGCTGCTTCACGGCGGCGCCAAGGCCTCATGATTTCGCTCTCGCATTGCCCATTATCCGAGAGAGGGGGTCGGCGGCAGGGGGCGAAGCCCTTACGGATAATCCTGACTCTGAGACCCAGGGCGTCCATCGATTTTTGGTGTGGGAACGTCACGCCTTCCATAGCAGAACCATCGAAGCCCAAGAGACGCAGGGCACCCTGGAGGCAAGCAGGGCGTTTCTTGGCATGGGCTCCCTCTGTGCCGGAAAGAAGCCCCGCCCGACGCCCACGGGACAAACCCGAGTTGCTGAAGGTGGGGTGAGGCAGAGACGGGAAGGGAGAGGAGGAGGAGGAGGAGGGAGAGCTAAAATTACGTCGGGCATGTCCCCCTACAGGCGGATTGTGGACGAACAATAAAACATCATCATATATTCGAAATTAATCAACCATAATGTTTTAAACAATCGTCCCATGACTATAAAAAACCATGTTTGAATATTCCTCCTGTGCACGGAGAGGCCCGACTTAAGGCCAGGGAAGGAGGATAGCGGAGGGAGGGGGAAGGCACGAGGAGTGGGGAGGGGACAAAGCAGGGATGCGAGGTCCGATGGGGCCGCCAAGCCCGCGCCCCTGGGAGCCCAGAGGCCGAGAACGCCGTGCTTCCGTGAGGGGGAGGGGGAAGACCAGAATTAGATCGGGAATGTCACATGTCCCCCTACAGTCGGATTTGGGACGAAAAATAAAACCAAAATGGTCAACACATCGTTCCCAGACTATTTTTTAACTATTTCAAGTGTTCATCCTGTAGAGAGACAGGCCCGACTTACGACTAGACAGAATTATGCTAACGGAGTTCCCCACATAATGAGGTTATTGGGATAGCGGAATCAGGGATAATTTTGTCATGAAACTGCCGACCTGCCCTCGCCCTCTCCATCTTTTTCTATCACACTGTTTTCGAATAGCGTCCTCGCTCAGGCGGGGCCTCCCTGGAGGGGTGGGAGTGGCACGAAACCTAATAAATGACACTGTTTTCGAATAGAGTCCTCGCTCAGGCGGGGCCTCCCTGGAGGGGTTGGAGGGGCACGGAACCTGACAAATAGCACTGCTTTCGAATAGCGTCCTCGCTCAGGCGGGGCCTCCCTGCAGGGGTGGGAGGGGCACGAAACCTGATAAATAACACTGTTTTCGAATAGCGTCCTCGCTCAGGCGGGGCCTCCCTGGAGGGGTGGGAGTGGCACGAAACCTGATAAATAACACTGTTTTCGAATAGCGTCCTCGCTCAGGCGGGGCCTCCCTGGAGGGCTGGGAGGGGCACGAAACCTTATAAATAACATTGTTTTCGAATAGCGTCCTCGCTCAGGCGGGGCCTCCCTGGAGGGGTGGGAGGGGCGCATGGTATTGGTATGGTATTGGTATTGGTATGGTATTGGTATGGTGGGAGGGAGCTCAGACGAAACCTGATAAATAACAGGTGTTGCATGGTATTGGTATGGTATTGGTATGATATGGTATGGCTTGGTATGGTATTGGTGTGGTATTGTATTGGTATGGTATGGCTTGGTATGGTTTGGTATGGTATTGGTATGGTATGGTATTGGTAGGGTAGGGCTTGGTATGGTATGGTATTGGTATGGTATGGTATTGGTATGGTATGGCTTGGTATGGTATTGGTATGGTATGGTATTGGTATGGTATGGCTTGGTATGGTATGGTGATGTGCGGAATGGTATCGTATGGTATGGTTTAGGAGAAGGACGCGGGAGGAGGAGGAGGAGGAGGAGGAGGAGGAGGAGGAGGAGAAGGAGAGAGTGTTCTGGGAAAACAAGAACCCCACTCAGGATGTGGGGAAAAAACGCACACACAAAAACTTGTGGCGCTCCGCGCGAATTTCTTGGATCGGCGCTGGACCCATCCCCGGCGCGCGGAGCGCGCCAGGGGCGGCGCCGAAGGCGCCGCCAGGGGGGGCCCAGGCGCCGATCCAAGAAATCCGCGCGGACCGCCGAAAGTTTATGTGTGGCTTCTTGCCTTCTTCGAAAGACAGGGGGAGGGAGGGGGATGGGGGAGGATGCATGGAGCCCGGAGAGCGCGCCAGGGACGGCGCCGGAGGCGCTGCCATGCCAGGCGCCGATCCAAGAAATCCGCGCGGACCGCCGAAAGTTTGCGTGTGGTCATTTTTCTTCTCCGAAAGACAGGGGGAGGGGGATGGGGGAGAATGCATGGAGCCTGGAGAGCGCGCCAGGGGCGGCGCCGGAGGCGCCGCCAAAGGGGGCCTTGGCGCCGATCCAAGAAATCCGCGCGGACCGCCAAACATTTATGTATGTAGCTTGTTTTCTTCTTCTTCTTCAGAAGACAGGCGAGGATAGGTCGGGGATACTCTCACCCGGGTCACTCCAAACCCAGGTCAGGCATGCCTCGCAGAATCCTGCAAAATCCTGCAGAATGCTGCAGGATCCTGCACCCGAGCCCGGGTCAATGCACGCCTGGCCCTGCAGGATCCTGCAAGATCTGGCGCTCTGACTGACCCCCGCTTGCATTGACCCCCGTCTCTTGAGCCCCGAATTGGGGAGGATGCATGGAGGATGCATGGAGCCCAGATGGATGAGGGGGGCCGGGGGTGGACGGAGGAGGGCGGACGGAGGCGATGGGGCGCAAGGAAGACTTGCCCGGCCGGGCGCGCAGGGACCAGCCCGCTCGAAACCGTGCCGAGATGCCCTTAATGCACCAACGCGTCTGGCCTCTCCCAATCACCCCCCCTCCAACGTCCTCCACAATCACACATCATAAACACAATCAACCCGTATCATATTCTGGGCTTCTTGACAAGCGTGGGGGCGTACCCCCCGACGGGGGGCAACCTCGCCTCGTCGTCGCGCTCCGGCGGGGGTCGGAGCGCCTTCGGCGCGCGGTGGCTGCCCGCGACGGAGGTCGATGTGGTGCTGTCGGCGGGGGTGACGCCCCCCCCGACGCTTGGTAGGAAACTCGGAGTAAGGACGCACGATAAGAATGCACGGGCCTTGGAAGGCCATCTGGGAGCTTTTCGAGCGGGGCGCGGCCAACGGAGGTGGCCAAGGATGGACCGAGGAGGCAAGGATGCAAGGGTACCATTGGGAAGGCTGCCCACCCTTGCCATGCGGGTCGACTGTGTTGCTGCCCCCTCTCCGCCGACCCTGTCCAGAGGACATTCGGCCCTCTCCGCGTTTTGCTTTTTATCCATGGATGTCAACAGCTGCTTTTTTGTTCGGAAGAATTATTTACAATCCGATTGTGCTCGGTGTTTCAAGAAGGGTCATCCCGCTGCAGCCTAGGCCTGGTTTTCGGATCGGCGCGTTGCTCCCGTCGTTCAGAATGATGCTCTCGCCCCAGCGCGGGCCAGCGGGCCACCTTGCTGGATCCGAGTCCTTTTTCATAGTTGTCGCCCCCTCATTTCCTCTCCTCTGCCTTACCCTGATCCTGCTGCTCCTCCCGCTCCTTCCACTCCAGCTCCTGCTGCTGCTGATCAGCCTGGCCCTCCTCCTTTTTCGTTCTCCTCGTTTTCCTTCTTCTCATCCGCCACCTCCTCATCCAATGTACGCAATTCCCTTTTGCCATTGCGCATGACACGATGGGGTCCTCTTGGAGTTCCAGATCCGCTATGGCAAGCGTCGGCGTGTAGAGAACAAAAACGCAGTGGGAACGGATGGGCGGGAGGGGTACGATGTCAGATATGGCGCGAGCGCACCTAGTTTGTACCCTCCCCCTCTCCTCCCACCCGTACTCTCCTGAACCTCTCACACGTCCTCCTCCTCCTCCTCCTCCTCCCCCCTCCTCCTCCTCCTCCTCCTCCTCCTCCTCCTCCTCCTCCTCCTCCTCCTTCTCCTCCTCCCCCTCTTCGTCTTCGTCCTCCTCCTCCTCCTCCTCGTCTTCCTCGTCATCCTTCGTCCTCCTTCTCCTCCCCCATACCTACTCCTCCCTCCACCCTCTTCAAACCTCGCTCCCCCTTCTCCCCCTCCCTCTCCGCTCCATCCCATCCGCCCCATCATCCTGGTCCTCGTCCTCCTCCTCGACCTTGTCCTGTCGGGGTAACCTCCCTGTTGCCCTCGTCCTCCCTCATCTCCTCTCCTCCGTTGTGTGTCTTGCTTGCTATGGGTCAATCCACTGATTGGAGTAAGGATGCTCTCAGTACACATGGAGTCCAGACCAAGCTAGACTTCCTCGCCTTGATCGTTGCTTCTATTCGAGGTCCGCCGACTGCATGTGACCGTTCACTGCGTCAACATATGGTTCGCGACGATGGTGGCTTCTCCGAGCTGAAGGGCGTCTGCGAGAAACGACGGGAGTGGTGTAGAAACGGACGCCCCTGACGTGCACCACGCGAAATGGTTAAGACATCATGGGAAAATAAATTCATGGTCTCAGAATTTAAATAACCAACATTTCTATCAAAATCTTAGGATTTACATTGAAACGTTAAGAATAATCGAGACTCTGGCCGAAAACGTAAGTTTTCTTAGGCATCGCCTAAGGTGTAGCCAATAACACTGCACTACAATGCCATGTGCCAAGCATCCAGCTTCCGAGACCCAACCGGTGGCCCAGCTCGAGCGGGCACGGGCACCACCACCTGAACAAACCACCAGACTGCGCTCGCTGACGCTGCGCATCGAAGCTGGAAAGCTGAAACGTTTAGACACATTCGCCTTTGTACGGCAGGTTCGTGTCGTGCCGACCCCAGCGTTGGTTTTTGACACCGCAGGGATCGTTCAACCTTGAACGATCGGCCGCTGCCGCAACGTCCGATCGTTCAACATCGATCGATTCTGGGTCGCCGGCGGCGTTCAACCTTGAACGCCCGCGCTGGGGTCGCCGCTGGTCGACACGACGCAAACCTACCGTAATTATCTGGCCATCGCTCGGACGTCCATTCCCTGTGTTTTTGTCGATTTCGTGCGTGGTTTTTTCGCCAAATGATCAAGGATGCTCCTCGATGGCCCTCGCCGAGAAAAAGTGCACACGTCCGAGCGATGCCAGGTTATCCACGGTGCGGGCCCCTCGGAAACCGGCCACGAGATTCTTCTCACGGCGCACTCAAGATACACAGCTGCAATCGTAGACTGGCTGGGCAACCGCATCCCGCAACAGGGCAAGGCCCACCGAGACACGCGGAACAGGCTGATAATCCACAACAAACAACATCCCCAATCACCTGGCGTTCTGCTACCGAGGTCAGTTCGCGAAACCTGGCAACTTGGAGAGGTCGGTTACCCTGCGCCGTTTCGCTGACAAGCACAGCGGAAGACGGACAGTCGTCCGCATAATGCTCCATAGTTTTCCCAGGTAAGGTGGGTAGGCCTCGCAGCTCGCAAACTGCATTTGTGACATGCTCATGGCTAGAGATGCAATATGATGCAGTTTTGACGTTGCCTCTAAACCAACGCCACTACCAGCCGTTGACCTCGCAAAGCACGTACGCCTCTCCTCCTCCTCCTCCTCCTCCTCCTCCCCTCCTCATCCCTCCAGCTCACCGTCCTCTCCCCCATCCCCACCCCCCTCTTCATTGTTTTCTTTCCTCCTCTCCTCCTCCTCCCTCCTCCTCCTCCTCCTCCCTCCTCCTCCCTCCCCTCCTCTTCCTCATCCTCATCCCCCTTCCCCTCCTCCTCCTCCTCCTCCTTTCCCTCCTCCTCCGCCTCCTTTTCCTCTCACCTCCTCTCCTCTCCCCATCCTGAACTCCTCATCCTACCTCCTACCTCCTCATCCTCCTCCTACTCCGCCTCCTCCTCGTCCCTTCTAGTCCTCCTTGTCCATCTCCCTGCTCCTAGTTCACATCCTCCTCATCCTTCCCCCCCTCCTCCCTCCTCCCCCTCCTCCCTCCCTCCCCCTCCCCACCTCCAGGAAGGCAAGGGACCAACCTCTGACCCCCCCCTGTTGCGGCCGCGCGCTCCCGCGAGCGCGCGCGCGCGAAAAGCGCGCCCCTCTGGGCGCGCACAGGTGCAGACTCGTCGCGTGCAGGCTCCCCGCGAGGGATGTCGTGAGAGCAGTAAGAACCACAACAGCCACAACTCCATAGAACTCCGCTCCCAATGGCCATCCCCCCGAGCTGGTGGCACTCCGATCCGGGCACTCTCTGGGGTCACGCCCAGAACGGGGTGCCACCAGCTCGGAGGGGGGGGGCGGCCACCAGCCCCCGTGAGCTGGTGGTGGTGGCTCTTTCTTCTCTTGTTGAGCAGGGGGCGCCACTCTGCGGAGGATCCAGCAGCATAGCTCCGGCACCGGCATCGGGGGGTCGCCTCTGCGGGCGGTCCTGGACCCCCTGCAGAGAGGGAGAGATAGAGAGAGAGAGAGAGAGCTGTGTGCATACGTCGAGCCTGGCCAGGCCCATCCTGGCATCCAGGGTCGGTGCACACACGCGCTCCTGCCTTGGCCAGGGAGGCAAAGATACACACCGATCCTGCACCCAGGGCGGGCACCGGCCACGACCCGAGCAGGTGCACCTCCCGCTCTCGTCGCCCGCTCCAGGCCGCCTGCGAGGCGCCAGCGGGAACCACCGGGCCACTTGAGAGGCCCCGACTCAGGGCACAGGGGGCCTCCTCCTCCTCCTCCTCCTCCGCCCTCCTCCTCCTCCTCCTCCTCCTCCTCCTCCCCCAACTCCTCCCACACCTCCTCCCTCCTCCTCCTTCCTCCTCTCCTCCTCCTCCTTTCTCCTCCCCCCCCTTCTCGTCCTCGTACCTCCGTCCCCCTCGCGCCTCCTCCTCCTCCTCCTTCTCCTCCTCCTCCTTTCCTCAGTCCCACCTCCTCTCCTCCTCCTCCTCCTCCTTCTCCTCCTCCTCCTCCTCCTCTCCTTCTCGTCCTCGTCCTCGTCCCTTCTCCTCCTCCTACTTCCTCCTCCTCCTCCTCCTCCTCCTCCTCCTCCTCCACCTCCTCCTCCTCCTCGGTGAGGGAGGGACCCCCATCCACCGGTGCCGGTGCCGAGGGCCCCAAGGACCCATGGCCCATGGCCGAAGGCCTCCAGGACCACATGCGAACTTCTGAGAGCTGCGCCTGCGCGGGCTCCTCGCGAATGCAGTGCGGGCAACAGGCGCCCGTGCGCGCCGCGAGCGCTGTCGGGGGCACGCTGCGCGGACCTCGCCGTGCTAGCCCCTCCCCGCCCCACCCCCCGTGGCTGAAAGGAACTTCGCAGCCGCCCTCGCTCCCTCCTCCATCCCCCTCCTCGGCCTCTCCTCCTTCTCCTCCTCCTCCTCCTCCTCCTCCGCCTCCTCCTCCTCCTCCTCCTCCTCCTCCTCGTTGCTCCTCCTCCTCCCCCTCCTCCCCCTCCCCCCCCCCCTCTCTCGTTCCACCTCTCTGGCCTGCTCCCCCGCTCGAGGGGGGGGAGGGGGAGCGGCGGGCGCCGCGGGGGCGAGGAGGTCCATCGGGGCGCAGGGCGCGAGAGGGGCAGGGGAAAAGGGTATAGGAAGGGAGGAGAAGAGGGGGATAGTGGGATGCATGCCAGTCGGAAGAAGTCGGTCAAAGCATGAAGTAGGAAGGCGGATAAAGTAAAGTAGATCATGTTCAGGCTCTCCCAGAGATGAGAACAACACAACGCAGCGAAAGCAAATCGATTCTTGAAGTAGGAAGGCGCTTGAAGTAGATTGGGATCTGGGAGCCCAAGAACACCTACTTTCAATGATCGGCGTGTACAGGGGAGGGGATAGAAGGGAGGGGGAGACGGGGATACACGGGAGGAGGTAAAAATGATGGGGATGGGAGGAGGCTGTGTGAGGGGGGAGAGAGGGGGCTCCCATGGGCCACAGCGCCAGCTGAGCTCCGAAGCAGTTCTCGCGAGCACCGGGGGGTGCGAGGGCAGCCATTTCCCTGCCTGTTCATCACCTCTCGGTGGCGAGCGGTGGGGGCACGTGAGAAGGAGAAGGCCTTCTCAGAAAGCGGCGGGGCTTTTCGGAAGGCCTCCGGCCTTCTGAGAGGTGTACTGTGTCTCTGGGGAAGGCTTAGAACACTTCTCAGAAGGCCAGAAAGGACTTCCGAGCCTTCTGAGAAGGCTCGCCCCTTCTCACTTGCCCCCCCGGGCCCGCGCCGATCATCACCGCTGTGCACGCGGTATGAATCCTGATCTTTGTGGGCCCTGGAGACGGCAAGGTCGTTTTTTCACCGTTTCCAAAAAATGTCCCTTGAAAATGGTAACGGCAAAAAAACGGCGACCGGAAACGGCAAAACAACGGCTCCAGGGTTGGGACCGGAGCCGGAACCGGTCAAAAAACGGCGACGGAACCGGTAAAAAAACCGGCGTCGGAACCGGCAACAAAAAGAAAGGCAAAACGGAACCGGTAAAAAAACGGCCCTGTCGCTTCCAGGGCCCACGAAGATCCTGATTATTCCTCCTGTGGCCTGCTGTGCCCGTCTGCCCCAAAGGTTGGCCCCTCGAGCGCGCGAACGAGCCGCCTCCAGCACGCGGCGGCATCCGCCGCCCGAGCGGCGTCTCGCGGTCTGCGCGTGCACACCAGCCACAGTTCAAAGCTGCATTGCTATGTACAGTGCAACAGAGATCGCGGAGCCTTATCCCCCTGGGGAAGGGCAAGCACGCAAGATGGCCATCGACTGTGGTCAAAGAGAGGCTATAAGCTGGGGACCCCGCTGATCACGTATCGCTGCTGGCTCAAACTTGTGTGCCCGCATGACCGGCGCAAGCGGATTTGGATCTACATGTATTGTGGCGAGCGACACCTGTGCTCCCATCCACCAGAGAAACCTCGAGCAATAATCCCACCAGCCCTCTGGGCGCAGGTGGTCTAGAGAAGCTCCTCTTCCAACCCCCTTCTTACCCATCTGGACCCATTTTCAGCTCCTGCCAGAAGGCTTCTCTCAGCTCCTTCCTGGGCTCCTTACAGAAGCCCTGATTGGGCTCCTTACAGAAGCCCTTACTGGGCTCCTTACAGAAGCTCTTATTGGGCTCCTTGCAGAAGCCCTTCTTGGCTCCTTACAGAAGCCCTTATTGGGCTCCTTACAGAAGCTCTTATTGGGCTCCTTACAGAAACCATTCTTGGGCTCCTTACAAAAGCCCTTATTGGGCTCCTTACAGAAGCTCTTATTGTGCTCCTTACAGAAGCCCTCAGTGGGCTCCTTCCAGAAGCCATCACTGGGCTCCTTACAGAAGCCCTCACTGGGCTCCTTAGAGAAGCCCTCACTGGGCTCCTTGCAGAAGCCCTCACTGGGCTCCTTAGAGAAGCCCTCACTGGGCTCCTTACAGAAGCCCCCAGGAGAGCCGTTTTGCGTCAGGAGAGGGTCCCAGATGGATTTTCACCCTGGAACGGTTCTGGGGTGAAAATCCACCTGGGACCTCCCGACGCTGCGCGGGAGGGCCCAGCCGCGAAAAACAAGCTCCCCAATAAGAGATTTCATTTGGAAAGTTGCCATTTTGGGAGCTCGTACACCCCCCCCATCCCCGACAGAGACGTTTCGCGTCGGGAGAGGGTTCCACGTGTATTTTCACCCTGGAACGGTTCCGGGGTGAAAATCCATCTGGGACCTTTCGACGCTGCGCGGCAGAGCCCAGCCGCGAAAAACGAGCTCCCCAATAAGAGATCTCATTTGGAAAATTACCATTTTGGGAGCTCGGGTACACCCCCCATCCCCGACAGAGCCGTTTTGCGTTGGGAGAGGGTTCCAAATGGATTTTCACCCTGGAACGGTTCCGGGGTGAAAATCCATCTGGGACCCCCCGACGCTGTGCGGCAGAGCCCAGCAGCGAAAAACAAGCTCCCCAATAAGAGATTTCATTTGGAAAATTGCCATTTTGAGAGCGCGGGTACACCCCCCCCCATCCCCGACAGAGCCGTTTTGCGTTGGGAGAGGGCCCCAAATGGATTTTCACTCTGGAACGGTTCCGAGGTGAAAATCCATTTGAACCTCCCGACACTGCGCGGGAGGGCCCAGCCGCGAAACACAAGCTCCCCAATGAGAGATTTCATTTGGAAAATGGCCATTTTGGGAGCTCGGGTACACCCCCCCGTCCCCGACAGAGCCGTTTTGCGTCGAGAGAGGGTTCCAGATGGATTTTCACCCTGGAACGGTTCCGGAGTGAAAATCCATCTGGACCTCCTGACGCTGCGCGGCAGAGCCCAGCAGCGAAAAACAAGCTCCCCGAGAAGAGATTTCATTCAAAAAATTGCCATTTTGAGAGCCGGGGTACACCCCTCTCCCCCCATCCCCGACAGAGCCGTTTGCGTTGGGATGGAGTTTCACCCTGCAGCGGTTCGGGGGTGAAAATCCACCTGGGACCTCCCGACGTTGCGCGGGAGGGCCCAGCCGCGAAAAACAAGCTCCCCAATAAGAGATTCCACTTGGAAAATTACTATTTTGAGAGCTCGGGTACACTCCTCATCCCCGACAGAGCCGTTTTGCGTCGGGAGAGGGTTCCAGATGGAATATCACCCTGGAACGGTTCCGGGGTGAAAATCCATCTAGGACCTCCCGACGCTGCGCGGCAGAGCCCAGCCGCGAAAAACAAGCTCCCCAATAAGAGATTTCATTTGGAAAATTGCCATTTTGAGAACTCGATTGCAGCCCCCCCATCCCCGACAGAGCCGTTTGGCGTTGGGAGAGGGTTCGAAATGGAATTTCACCCTGGAACGGTTCCCGGGTGAAAATCCATCTGGGACCTCCCGACGCTGCGCGGGAGGGCCCAGCCGCGAAAAACAAGCTCCCCAATCAGAGATTTCATTTGGAAATTGACCATTTTGGAAGCTCGGGTACACCCCCCCCATCCCCGACAGAGCCGCTTCGCTTCGGGAGAGGGTTCCAAATGGGTTTCCACCCTGGAAAGGTTCTGGGCTGAAAATCTATTTGGGACCTCCCGACGCTGCGCGGCAGAGCCCGCTCGCGAAAAACAAGCTCCTCAATCAGAGATTTCATGTGGAAAATGGCCATTCTGAGAACTCGGGTACAACCCCCCCCATCCCCGACAGAGCCGTTTTGCGTTGGGAGACGGTTCCGGATGGAATATCACCCTGGAACGGTTCCGGGGTGAAAATCCATCTGGGACCTCCCGACGCTGCGCGGCAGAGCCCAGCCGCGAAAAACAAGCTCCCCAATAAGAGATTTCATTTGGAAAATTGCCATTTTGGGAGCTCGGGTACACCCCCCCCATCCCCGACAGAGCCGTTTTGCG